AAAAAAAAAAAAAAAAAAAAAAAAAAAAAAAAAAAAAAAAAAAAAAAAAAAAAAAACAAATAATAATAATTAAATAAAAATAAAAATATAATAAAAATAAAAAAACATACTCCAAAAAAATTATTAAAATTTTTATACACGGAAAAAATCATAAAACGTCTATTTAGATATAGATTCAAAAAGCTATAGCTCGTTAGAAAAAACTTTAAAATTTTATATTATATTTTCATTAAGTCTAACCTAAACCTGCAGTCCAACCGTCTATATATAGTAAACTAAACTCAAACTTTCTTCTTCTTGCCATCACTTCACCTGCCACTTTCACTTTTCACTGAAATTTGTTTCAATAGTTGCAACTCGAATGCCGCATCATCTGATTGTGAGCGACGCACGCCCACACAATAGGCAATGGCATAGAATTTCGATTTCCATATCAGGATCTACAATTTCATGGCATTTGGCTATAGTTTTCGTTTTGATTGGGCATCATGAGATGTCCTGCCGAGGCGTCTCCTGCTGCTGCAGATGCCGCTCCTTTGAGCAACCCCACAGTGCGTGTGATCATTTTTTTGTTTACTTTAGATTTGCATCCTGGACAGAGAGTCCTGTCCTGTGTGTGTGTGTGTCTGTGACCGTTGTCCTTTTTACCTGTTCGAACAAACGATGTCTCAGGTATTTTGCATGCATACAAGACAAATGAAAAAACGTCAGGCATATGTCCTTAAAAAAGAGGGAAACGTAAAGGTAAAAAAAGGAAAGGAAAAAAGATGCAGCGCCTTTTTAGTCTAGCTCTTAAGACTGAGGCGTGCAATTTCTCAAATTTTCCCTCAATTTTCCTAGTCATAAAAAAAATACAACACGGAGGCAGCCACAAAAGCCAAATTTTGTGTAATTACATTTAAGCCGTGGCAAGGATAATGCGCCTTTCCTTTTTTGCCTTTTTAATTGCATGAAAAAAACTACCCAAAAAATTAGTAAGAGTAGTGTGGTAGGGAATGCTCGACTTATAGATAACCTTCAAGTTGAGTATTTGATTTATTGTAGACTATGTAGTATATTTGGGTATATCGAAGGGGAAATCGAATCGTGGGGATATATAACCTGAGGAGGATATATGTATATAAATAAATATAGTATAGAATATGTATTCAAATCGATATTGATATCAAGAAGATAAATATCAAATCGAGAGATAGGACACGCCTACCTCTACCTGCTACAGACGCGCCTACCTCTGCCTCTTACATACATTTTAACAAGAACAATATACTCCCATTTTCAATACGACTTCAAGATTTTTGTAACATTTAGCTTATAGCATGCAGATCAGCGCTTTGTCCAAGCAAAGGCAATGACAAAACGGACTCCACGGAATCCATTACGTGAATGTCCTTTGAGGTAATCTGTATATTTATAATGTCAAGCTGAAGCATTATGCACAAGGATTCCAAAGCATTTCATCTGCCATATATTGTCGTAAAAATATGTCGCCTTTTCTGCCGTTGCTCTGCCTTTCTATACCCTTACCTCTCTCTCTCTCTCTCTCTCCACCTACCTCCCGCTCTTTCTCTCTAACTCTGTGTGTTTTCGGGCTGCCACACTTTGTTTACGCCCCGGGGGAGCCATAAATATCATATCTACTTTGCAACACAAAAAACTCGACCACTGACTGGACTCTGGACAGCGTCACAGGATAACACGACTTCAGAGACGCCTCTTGCCTTTCGCACATATGCGTGTATTTAAAGTACTATCTGTTTCCATGTGTGTGTGTGTATGTGTTTGATGGCATTGCTGTGTGTTGGACTTTGCATAGACAGTAGCAAAGCCGTTTATGTTCGGGTTTGATATGATAATGCGCTCATAAGCTATTCTGCATTGAAGATAACAAAAAAAAAAGACAAAGAATACAGGTGGAGATACAGTAGTCATTGGCTACGTAGACTGCTGTATAAATGATGATTATTAAATATAGTTATACATTTCAGATAATTTTATTTATATCTTATATAATTTTAAACAAACTTTAAGAATTACTTGGGTTACTTCTTTGTATGATTTCATTGTTGAGCTGTCGCAAGTCATTCGGTGCTCGCACAGCTCTTAAAAAGTTTACAACGCCAACCACCCAGCCACCCAACCACTGAAACGACACCACTCAAAGGACATCAATGGACAGTAGAAATTTTTGCATGTTACGCTACAACGAAGCACCGTAAATACTAATGGACATTTTACGAGCCAAGTGGCCCGAAGCAGACCAAATGGACAAACGATGACCACGTCTATATGTGTGTGTTTGTGTGTGTGTGTGTCTGTATGTCTGAGACACTCGCCAAAAACAGACAAGGAGCAGACGCAACAGCAAACACAACCCCCTAAAAGCAAATTGAAATACGGACTGCAAACGAAATGCACAGACGTGACATTTGCATTGGACAGAAGGCGAAATAATCGATAAGGAAAGCTCAATTATCGATGGCAGCTGATAGGCAGATTGAAGATTGTTTCTGTGGATAAACTACGAAAGTTAGTTGCTGTCGACATAGTCGTAAATTAAAAACTTTATTATGATTATTGATCGATAACAATTAAAACATTATCGATAAATATTGTAATGTAAGAAAGATTGTGATGTGGTAAAAGCCTCTAAATAATATTATAAAAACAATTTCGGGTCAATATTGTTAGAGCCGTAAATACTCTGATCGATAAAGCTCAACTATCGATATCGATTTCGCTGTTATCAATAGGCCACATATTCAAATAACTGTATACAGATTAAAAGGTAATGACCTTGTAGACAATATTTGATTGCTCGAGTCCATGCTCCCTCCCATTCCATTCACTCATTCGATTCTTATTAAATATACAAAAATAAGTTGTAATTCGCTTATAATTCCCCACACTTTCCAGGAATGCCCATATTTTTGAAACCCAACCACAAAGAATGAAACTTAAATGTTTTTTTCTTTCTATTCCATTTCTTTGCAGTTATGCGACACATGTCAAACTCGCCGACACCGCCATCTCCCCTGCGATCTCTATCAGGTATGCACCTAATCCTTTGCTAACATACATCAAACATGCACCAAAAATATTTAAGGAAGGGTCTCCTATCTCTGGTTAGGGTGTAGGGATATTCGGGTTTGCGAACGTGAAACGTGGAACGTGGCTACTTTGTGGCCAAATTGATTACTCACACGAGCTACGTAGCCAATTTATTGATGTCTCTTTGGAGAGAGGGTAGGGCAACAATTTTATAGTTTTTGGCAAAAGGATATATGCAACAACGACAGCAACAACAACAACAGTGGCAACCCCCAAGCAAATATTTGAGGATGCGCCTGAGGTTCAGCTCGAGCTCTGAGCGTGGCAGTTGGCTCGAGGCTTGCGGCTTAGGTAGAGCCACGCACGTGACTAAAGTGTGGCTGGCAAAACTATTTAAGAATATACATATATGTTCCGGTATATACTCATATTGGAACGAAGAATGCTTCACTTCACATTAGACAGAAATGGAGTAACAAAAAGATTTAGTAGATGTAGTAAAAATATATATGAACATTAATATAAATTGTAAATGGTTTTATAAATAATCTTCCAAAGGAACTCGAGCCAATATCTATATGTTTGAGCTCTGATTTGACAAAACATTTATAGTATATCTCTAAACGTAATTTCTGGCTGTATTTCATTTCAGTTCGCATCTCATTCAAGGAATCCAAAATTTTCAGTATTCAAAACAAAAAAACTCTGATCAGTCCTAATGTATATATATTTATAATATATTGCCCTTCCACCCACAATGTGGAAACAACCCTGTCAAATTTGCAAATGTTCTACAGTTTTGAAAAGACAACAACCCTCACGACATATGCAAAAGGTTATTTATACAGACACTGACACACACACACACACTCAGACAGACATCAGGACACTTTTGACCCCCATTGTACACCCGCCTGACCCTCTCTCACTCTCACTCTCCCACTCTCTCGCCTTTTGCGTCTTCCTTTTGCTCGCCCTTTTAGCAAACACAAAATAAAAATAACAATTTGTCAGAATGTAAATTTCACAACTGCGCATTTGAATTTTATTGTTGCGAGCAATTATGTAAGAGAGGTTCGCCCCTAACTGCTGACCTTTAGCCCCTACCCTCTACCCTCTACCCTCTCGCTCTGCCACCCTCTTCTACCCCCTCCCGCTCACTCGCACTCTCTCCTGTACACTCCTTAACAAAGCGCAGCTAATCTATGCAAAAACATGCATCCATCCACCCCAAGCACTCATGCAAACATTGCGACAACCCTCATTTAAATAGTTGCCGCACAGGGTTGCCATATCATCAACTGACAATTAATTTTGCATTTTTATTGGTTTACACAAATTAACGCGATGCGCTTTATTCAAATGTGTCACAACAGCAACAACAACAACTGCGAGCCCTTATAAAAAAGGGTTGTGGCATATATTTAAATTACACAAAAAAACGTGAGTTTGGGGTTGGCTCAAGTGTGAGGTTAGGGTTAAGCCAATCAACTGTTGCGCATCTTCCTTCCGCCATCAAATTTGAATAGCAAATGAGGTGTCAGGCGTGTGGCAAATTGTGTGAGTTTTTTGTGTGCGGAAGGGTTCAAGTCTCACTCTCACTTTTTTTTTTCAACCCTAACCCTCGCGACTTTTTAAGTGCTACTTGTTGAACTTCGTTATTCAAATTGTGCAACGCCTTTTCCTCTTCCATGCACCCAAAGGATTTGTTTGCGTGCTGCTAATTGTTTGGGTATCCTATTTTTTTTGATAGGGTAATTTGTGACTCTCTTTATATTTTAATCAGCGGTTGCTGTTTTTTTTTTTTTTTGTCCTCTTTCTCTTTGATTGGGTGCGTTTCTTTTGATTGGCTTTGAGGCGTTACGAGGGCGTTTCGCTTTGGTTGATTTGTGGTTTTATGGTACTTCAAAATTTTGAAAAGTGTTGAATTCGAGACAGGGTTAAAGAGGTAATTTTTTTAGTAAGGAAACTTTTGTTGAGGTGAAGGGGGGCCCTGGGTTGTATTATTACAATAATATTAGCATTTATAAGGCTTAGATAGCATGAGAGAATTATGAAAATATCTGAAAAATTACTAAACTATTCTTAAATTCGCATAAAAAGTTTTTTAAATATTTTTTATTAAATTGGCAATGAATTATTTATATATAAAAAATCAGTTTCTATAACTAATATACCCCTTACTTTTAAAAATATTTTAACTAGATTTGCATTTCAATAGCATATTTGCCAAATACACACTATTCTCTTTCAACTTTTCCATCACCATTAGATGTAAATATTTGATAGAAGCCCCAGAAAATACATTCCATATTCAGAAATTCCAGCGTTATCTGTAGCTAGATATCCTGCATAATTGGATAGTTTTGCGAATATTTATTTATATGCCGAACTGTTATATCTTTCCCATAAATCGCAACACGCACACTTTGCCCAGGCGCCCCATGTGATGCGAGCAACCCCTAAAGAGAGAGAGACAAGAGAATACGACAGGGAGAGATAGAGAGAGAGCGAGTGAGGGGCAACACTTCATTTGTCAGTGCAACAGAGACTCACACTCGCACTCACACTCACATTCACACATTTCCACATTGCTGCAACAACACATCTGCTGAACAGCACCTGGCGTCAGGTTCTGCATTCGGTTTTCCCTATTTCCATTTTAGAGTTTTTCACTGCTGGATCTCTGGCAGCAGTCACAATAGTTTTTTTTTTCTTTCTGTTTTTTTCGCCTGCAGCTTCTTGACTTGCCACATGCAACACAATGCAACGCAGCAGCCTCTCTTTTCAGTTTTATTGTAGCTTCAAACCCTTTTTGCCAATCACAAGTTGCATTTGAACTTCACCCCGAACGAGAATCAAAAATGGAAATCCTTTGCCTTTCCAATTGTAACAAACGAAAAGCGAAAGCGTAGCAAATTCCAGCCAGGGGGTTGGCAAATTTTACAATCAGCGGGTGGGTTGGGGTTTTTAACCCTTATCTAACTATGTGACTTTTTTTTTATAGAGTTGACTGCATTTCTGCTAATTATATTAGCCGAAACATAAGTCATAAAAACAGCTGCCCACATATCAAAAGTTTTCCCTTCCCTAATGCCGCCCGCATTTAAAATCAAAGTTTTTTAATCCCGTTAACAGGACTAAACAAAGCTGCAAAGCTGCTTAACAAAGTAAAAAAAAAAGAACAATAACAATAAACGATTCATGAAATAGTTTTAAACAGGTTAAAGCTGAAAATAATTTTTTATTTTCGAGGATTCAACCTTTAAAGACATCATAAGCTGATTGGGCCAAGAGCAACAACTTTTAAGTATTTTTCGTATGACATTCATATTATAAAGGAACAAATTTCAAATTGACAACCAATTTCCGTCAATCAAAAAACTTTTCATAATATCATTTTTTAACCTTTTATCGAAACACAATTGTTTTATTATAAAACATTTTTTTTATTATTTTTTTTTTATTTTGTATGATATTCATACACTAAATATAATATTAACAATTATCAGATATAGAATTTTTTTTTCCTTCACAACAATGGAACATTTCTTTACTCCAAAGGCAATTTCCCCTCCCCGAGATTGATCGATGCTTGGAGTTTTTAGTCTTTTCAATGGATTATCTTACAAGAACTTCCTGACCATTCTTTAATTTCTAGCAAATTCAATAGGTTGTAAATCAATAAATATGCTCATGACACATTATGAAATTTGAGATCTTAAAAAAAAAGAGAAATAGAAGAAGAGCTTGAAAGGAAAACAAAGAAAAAAGCAAAAGTTGTGTAAAGCTTCCTTCCTGCGTTCAGTGCCGGCGATTTTTCAATTATTATGCATGATTGAATTTAAGGCTAGTTGATAGATGTAAAATGGGGAGGTCAATGGGGGGAGGGCGTGGCACAAAGCAAAACCCTTCCGCTTGAGCGTCTATCGTCTAACAGCAGCTAACCGCAGGACAACAACAGGACAACAGGGAAACAGGGCAAAGGACTTAGCCGAGAGCCCATTCAATTGGAAGATTGAATAAAATTTGCCTTAAAATAGCAAAAATATTGAAAACTTTTAGAGATGGGCAGCCCAAGCAGGGGCGTGTCCGGGGCAGGGGCAGGTTGAGTTGGGCAATTGAATTATGCGTCCTGTGTGGATATGTCTGTGTGTGTATGCGTTGTCCTGCTGTCTCTGCTCTGGCTACTTGCAAACTTCATTGAGTTGGAAAATTGAAAATATATATAAATTTAGTTAGAGAATATACATAAAATGTTTGGCGACTGCTAACCGGCCTTATGTGGTCAATATGATTGGCTTTAACATATTTTAGTTAGGCAATTTAGTCAAAGAAATATACATACATATATAACTATATTTGATATATAAGATCTTATTACACGATATTCCAAATTTTGCTAACTTCAATCTTCTCTATCTCCACTTTACAGACTGTGGCAAAAGCTACGAAGAGGAGGAGGAGGAGGACGACGATGATCTGGACGAGGATGTTGCTCAAAACTTGAGCAGCAAACGTCGCGCCTCACGGCAACTGGATGTGGCAATGGAGAATGAGGTGCTGAATTTGGCTTCTCCGGCGCCTAAGCGCTTGGCCCTCGAGCCTCAAACACCTGAGCCGCAGCCGGCTGCAGCAACAGCAGCAGCAGCAACTGCCACGCCTCCCATGGGTGTGCCGGCGCCTTTGGGCTTTGGACCCGAAGACATGCAGCAGGCACTGCAGCTCCAGCTGCATAGCTATATTGAGATGGTTCGTCAACTGGCACCCGAGGCCTTTCCCAATCCCAATCTGGCTACGCAATTTCTGCTACAGAATTCGCTGCAAGCCTTGGCCCAATTCCAAGCGCTGCAGCAGCTCAAAATGGAGCGAGAAAGGGAGCAAGTGCAGCCGGTGCCGAGTGAGATATTGCCCACACGGCACTATTCCACGCCCCTGAGCAAAAGTCCGCTGCGCAGTCCGTCGCTCAGTCCAGTCGGCCGTCAATTAGAGCCCCAGCAGCGCACGCCGCCCAATTCCTTGGGAGGATTGGGATTAAGCAGCGCTGTGCTAACACCAAATACGCCCAGCATGCAGCAGCAGCAACAGCAGCAGCAATCGACGGCAGCTGCTTCCAGCTCGACGCCCAAGCCCTTGAATAGCGGCGCCACCGTAGCCGCTGTGATGGCCACCAAGCTGGAGCAATCCCCAGAGGAGACCACAGATCTGGAGGAGCTGGAACAGTTCGCCAAGACCTTTAAGCAGCGACGCATCAAACTGGGCTTCACGCAGGGCGACGTGGGTCTGGCCATGGGCAAGCTCTACGGCAACGATTTCTCGCAGACCACCATCTCGCGCTTCGAGGCGCTCAATCTGAGCTTCAAGAACATGTGCAAGCTGAAGCCCCTGCTCCAGAAGTGGCTCGAAGATGCCGATACGAGTGTGGCCAAGTCAGCCGGTGGCGTCTTCAATATCAACACAATGACCACCAATTTAACCACCACACCGGAGAGCATATTGGGCAGGCGGCGCAAGAAGCGCACTTCGATAGAGACCACAATAAGGGGAGCACTGGAGCAGGCCTTTATGCACAATTGTAAGCCCACCTCGGAGGAGATCAATCAGCTGTCGGAGCGCCTGCATATGGATAAAGAAGTTGTGCGTGTTTGGTTCTGCAATCGCCGGCAGAAGGAGAAACGCATCAATCCCTCCCTCGATCTGGATAGTCCGACGGGCACGCCGCTGAGCAGCCACGCCTTTGGCTATCCCCCACAAGTGCTCAATATGTCCAATGGACACATGCTGCTCGAAGCTAGCGGAGGAGGATCACATTGCGGTAGCTCCATTAGCTCGGGAGATTGAGAGATTGATCGTAATTCAGATTGTATATAAAGCGAGTGATGCTCTCCAAATCTTCCACAAACATTCCAAAAATATGAAAAATAATAAACCAACAACAAAAACTGCATATCGTATTATCCCTGTATCCAAAATCCTCCCTGATAGATGTTCGTATCAGCATTCCATAACGAATTTACCAGTACATATAAATATATATATACAGCCCCTACATATATAGGCATTATATTGGATCTATGTAGAGCGCCCCCCATAACTGTTGTTGTCTTTGTAACTGTATGTCCAGCATGCCAATCTATCAACTATTTATAGCAACCATATACATACTATATATATAATTAATATTAAATCTAGACACCTATGTAACATACTATCTATATAATATAATGATATTGTTGTACAATGTCCAATTGTAAATTGATCTTAACACTTAGATCTAACACTAAACAAAAAATTTCAATAAAAATTATTTAAAAACTCAATTGAAAAATAAAATCTGTTTATTTTGGGTATGCCATCATGCGAGGGTTTTGTAGAAATTGTTAATAGGATTAGTATATATTCATAATTATTGTAAGATACAATTTTTGTACAGTTGTTTTGTACAGAGCGAGTTGAACGGAATAATATGACATGTTTCCAAAGAGGAGTAAATAATAATCAACTACCTAATGTTGAAGCTTATAGCTCTGAAAATAGGTGTAGATATATACGTTATATCATTTGCATCTTAGGTTGGATTGCCTCTACTACTTTTACGATGGTAAGATACATTTATTTCATTAATTTTACTTTATCTAGAATTTCTTGGATTTTTGGAATCTGTTATAGAACAAAGCAGAAGGGTATGCGGTTATAAAACCCTTCTTTAACTGTACCTATTCCAAAAAGCTTTCTATTAGCAGATTAAAGATATATTATTGCCCAAGTAATTTAAATGCCAAACAAAATCAGCAAGCATTACCTTTTTGCTATCATTCGTAATCACTTCGTCTTGGATTTGATTTATAATTCAATTAGGTGCCATTTCTCAGTGCAAAGGCCATCGATCCTAAGTACACTTGAATCTCATTAGAAGCTCCCTAAATAAATATTTAACAACATATTTAGTTAACTGATTTCTTGGTCCCAGCGAAAACAGAGAGGGCTAAGAGAAAAAAATCGGAATCACATCCGCCAGGACACGCGCCAAACGCAAACACACCATTTTTTAATAAACTTCCTTAGAGCAGGAGAGAGACCCTTACCAACCCCTTTTCCTCTTTTTTTTTTTGGGTACTCGGGAGTGGATTTTGTTGGATAAGAAATCACTTCATCTTTCTCAATATGGAAGCGAGCTAGCAAACCCTTATTTGTATATCGAAAGCAAGCGTGTAAATCCCATTGACCATCAGAAAAAAAGACCCCCGACTCTAGAGGAAGAAAAAGTTTTCAGAGGGTTGGGTAAAGCGACCTGGTTGGTGCCAGTCGCTGATTCGTTTAGGGCTGAACGAACAAAAAAAGGGTTTATGCCATAAATTCACACATAGTTATGTCATATGGTCTACTTCTTGTCCCTGTTGTCCTTTTTTCTATTGACAGTGAAAGCATTTAGCTGTGTGCCAGTTGTTTATTATCTGAGCTCATTTTTAAATTGTTTTACATCGACATAAAACATGAATTTAGTTCCAAGTAGAAATTTAGCTAGGATAAATAAACATTTAGATATGTTGTGAGCTAAATAAATATTTAACATTGAATTCATTCATAGGGCAAGATTTATTTATTTTATTATTATTATTATTATTTATGTATAATTTACTTACACGAAAATATAGATCTTGCATAGCGAAAGCACATGCGTATTTAACCGTGACTTAAACCATTAACAATTCTAATCTGGGTTCGAAACTGTGCTAAATAAATTTCAATTACATGTACAAGTAAAAGGAGTTCGCTTACCGGATTTGTCATCCCTTTCTTCCGCTCACATTGGGAAAAAATATCACATATTCATTCACATATTTATTAATAAGCAAATATTCACAAACTTCCATTTTGATCACTTAAAAGAAAAAAACACTCATAGAAGTTTATAAGCAACACAAAAAAAAAACACGCACGAATTTACACAAACACACAGCGCTAAAGAGAGCAACACACAGTAAAATGTATGCGTGTGCGTACATACATATGTAAATGCCGCGCTAGCAGCATTCACTCTGCTCACTCCCTTACATAAACAGCAGAAGAAATGGCAATCAACGTGAATTGCAATAACAGCTAGCTCGCTTGCTCTCTTTGCTCTCCAGTAGGCTGCTGCATACAAAATTAACAATTGCTCTCTCGTTTTCGCACTGATGTTGAAAAAAGCTTTGCAGTAAAAAATGTCACTATATTCTGCAGATATAGATTACTTGAATGTAAGTTAAATATAACACTAAACAAAAAACACATTTGACCACACGTAAAGCGCAGTACGTGCGCCTAAAACCCGGTATTTAATTAAAACAAAGATTACGCAGACATCAGCTACAAATTCGACCGATCAACAGGACTTCAACGCACAGACTAAATTTGCATGTTTCGCCCTCTACTATAAGAGCAAAAGAGAGCACATAACTAACACAAATGCACAATTATCTGCACACACAAGTTAAAGTAACGGGATCAAAAGCAAATGGCCTGATATCGCTCTTTCCTTCTGCTCTTTGCTAATAATTATTGTATGCAAAATAAAAAGCTTTTTTAAGAGTGAGTGCGCGATGTCTGACATGTTATGACATGTTGGTTTTAACTATAGTCTTTATCTATCATTCTGCACCGCTCTTACTTCATGCAATAGAACTTTCTGCGCTAATGCAATATGTGAATACTCATGTATGCATGTATGTATGTGCAGATTTTAATGAGATTGAGCGAGAAAGAGTTAACCTAATTTTCTTACTTATACAGTGCCTTGCAGCTTTTTTCAAACAGCACCAAAAATGAGTTGGGCCTCTGTAAAATGTAAACTAAAATAGTTGAAAAAATCCTCCCTATCATATATTAATACATACCATATATGTATATTAAATATATATTTTAATAGAACTGTAATTATATGTCGTTAAGTGTTTGCTTTTCCAAACGCTTCAATTGTCCCTCGCAGCAAAGACTTTGTGTAGTGCCGGAACAGCCCTCGGGCATCCACAGGAGCATGTCGTGCAGCAGCAGGTCCTTGGGCAAGCCCTCTATCTGTAGCACTCACACATAATTGGTACACTTCAGAGCTTCGCTCTTTGAATCGTTATCAGTCCGTTGCAGACGCTCGTTCAAAGGTTCGCAAATCGCTTTCAATTTTCAGCCCACATATTCAAAATGCCACGCCCCCCACTCTCGCGACCGGTCCCTTCCTTTGCCGTCCGCCCTCTGGTCATTTAACTGGTCAAATAGAAAAGCGGGTCGATTGGAAGTTGGGATTAGGCTTTCCCTTCAGCTGGGGGCTATTATTTCTCTCTCTTTGTGTGTGTGTGTAGTAAGTGTATGTGTGTGTGTGTGGCATGTGGCATGCCATCTCCTCCGCCTCCTCCTCCTTCTCCTCCCCTGACTTTTTCTTCTTGCTTAGATCGGCCGCTAAAGATTTGGTATTTGCGAGTCCTTTGATAGATTTCGTTGGCTGCATTTGCAAATTGAATTCCCATTTTGTGAAATGTTCTCTCCATTCGGCTTCATTTATAACAATTTAATGAAATTTTCGAATGCGTTTTCATAACGGTTCTTTACGCATACGACCATACGAGCACTGTGTGGAAAATCATTAATCAAATGGAAAAGCTGCCAGGACTAACGAAAATTAAGTTTTTCTGCTACAATTTTTATTGCTACTTTTTCACGGCTTTAACTTGATTTCGATTGTGGGGGTCGCTCAAATGCCATGCCCACTTAAAGAGGCGTGCGTAATGAAAGTGTTAATGTGTGAGAATTTGTTGGAGAAGACCTTAATATCATGGAGTATACCAATGTCAGGGAATATGTTGATATTTCTTAAACTTTTTGGTTTATTAGATTTATATTGCTTATTTATATGGAGGGATAGATAAACTTATATATACTATGTCCTATATATTTCTATATATCTTTGTAAATGGCATAGAAAATATTAATAATAATAATAATAAATAACATTATTAAGGATTCTTTAAAAAATGAAAAAAAAAGTTCAACTTTTTTCAAGTATTCATCAAATGAAACTGTATCAAATGGTTCTTGGAAAAAATTTCCTTCCAATCTTCCAAAAATATTACTTTCTATTCATCTCCTTTAAAAAAAACCTTTCAGTTCCAAAAATTGAGTCTTTACTTAATGTTAACAAATTGATTTTATTATTTGTCAATTCAATGAGAGATAGAGATATCCTCTCTAAAAGAAAATGTCTCCAACAAACTGAGAAATCGTGCTCGCAAATTATATATAGACGACATATGTTCAATTTCTGAATGAGTGCTCGCGTCTTTGCTGCTTTGAATTTCAATTGTCTGTCTATGTGGGCGCTAAGGGGGCGTGGCCATGTACATACCACCCCTTTTGCGGACTATCTAACGAAATGTTGCCTTTGTTCTCAAGTAAATACAAACAAGTAGAAGAAGAAGAAGCTGAAAAATTACTCCGAACACAATTGAATTACAATGAAAATATGAAATGAGCGACAAAAAGGAAACTTTTTTTTTCCCTATTTTATTTTACTTTTTATTCTTTTTCATTAAGCAAACAAATGGAACAAAGAAACAAAGCGAAAATCAAACTGAAAAAAAAATGGGAACGAAATGCTGTAAAGTGTGAGTGGGACTAGTATATAACTAGGAGACCCCCCCAAAAAAAAAAAGAATCCTCTTCGTAAAAAAATCACAAATTCAATATTTGCACATACAAACAAATGCGAGTCCCTAGACGAAGCACGAGAAGAACGAAGGACCCCGTTGGACCCCTTCTAACTGCGCTCTTGATGAGGTCAAAGCAAACAGACCAACGAAATTGTGGCAAAGTGCTCAACGCTGTGGGCTATATGAAAAAAAAGGCCAAAATGTAAGCGTCTGGGCAGGGATAGACTGAGAGATA